AAGAAGTCAGAAAGTGAGAAGTAGCAGTCCTGGTTTACAAGGAAATGATACCAGATCTATACAAGTGAAGACGTCCTGGTGGCAGTTGAAATTGTGAGATAAGAGTTCAGGAAAAGAGTAGGGCCAAAGTTTAGGGAGGAACTTTTGTGGAAATGTTGGTCGAAGTTATAGTAGAAGATGAGTCTGTCCTGGAAAAGTAGTGGCCAGAGATTAAGGATGAAGATTCAGAAGAGGACCTTGGTGAATGGCTAGATTCAGGAGAAAGGAAGGGACGTCAGCAAAGGAGAGAAAGTAATCACAAAGGCACAGGGAGAAAAAGCAANAAAGGAAGGGACGTCAGCAAAGGAGAGAAAGTAATCACAAAGGCACAGGGAGAAAAAGCAAAGTGCAGAAACTTCCAAGTTAAGAAGGATTTCCAAGACAGCATCAAATGCTCAAAAGGATCAATGAGAATGTGAACAGAAGAAAAGCCATTTGATATTTTCAAATGGTAGGAGTTAGTAGTAACCCTTGAGAATGCAGTGCAAGGAGGTAAGGTCAAGATTAAGGTCAAGGTTAAGTAAAAAGATTGATAGTAAAGAGAAGAGAGATGCTCCGGGAGTAGTGGGTTGCAATCATAGTTAGCGCTGTGGTCATCCATCTGTTTCACAGGGCAAATACATTCACAGGATGAGGGAAAAGAACTATGCCAAAAGAAACACTTATGTGGAAGAGAGAAGTGTTGAAATCACTGGTGAAGATGTCAGCTTAAGCAGAAAGAGACTGTGCAGACTCACTGCTGGTTTTTTCAATAATTTTCTACAAGAACTGAAAAGTGCATCCCAACGTGAAATATAAAAAGATGTCTGCATGGTTTAATCGCTTGTATTAGGAGCTGAGTCACCTGGTTTTGCAACCAAAGACTTAATTTCAAATGTCTTCTCTACCACTCGCTAGTGGGGACCTGGACAAAAGTCTTAATCATGGAAAGCTGCCACAGCTTCATCTGTGAAATGGAAATAATGGTATCTGCTTTAACTGTTCCACAGAATTATTATGAGGATGAAATAGTCATGTATGTTAAAGGTATAGAGAGCCCAATAAAAGTTAAATGATATTTTTTCACCCAGAACTCATAAGTGTTGACTGAATCAAGGAAAACCAGCTGACCAGCAAAGCTGTCATTATAATGAATTATAGCCAAAGCATGAGTAGTTGAGAAAAACTTAAAAGAACTGGATAAAAGGCCAGTGGGTTTAGAGAACATTCCACTTTGTCAAAAACAGAAAAATTCTGCAACAACAGAACATAATTTGAGGCATGAATCACAGAATAAAAGGTCTGTAGGCAGCACATGTACATACATCAGAGACTCCCAAACAAACAAGGCATAATCTGGGCATTGCCACATGATCAAAATCTCACAGGGGTGTCCTGAGCTTCCTCACATATCTCAAATCCATATACACAGATGTGAGGGCTGAGAGAGAATGGTTTTGACAGGACTGAGCTAAGCCACAGTACAATCAGTGCTCATCCTCAGCAAGGCCCTTGATTTGAACTTTCTTAAAGGAGAGTCACAGCTGCAAAAATCTGTAGGCTGGGTTCAAGAATGTAATCCCTGTTAGCTTTTATCCACAGTGTTTAATAAATTACCCAGATGTGGAAATATTACTGGCAACCTCATAAAGTACTCAAAATAATCAGAGACTAAATGGTTGTATGTAGCACGGCATGCACATCACTAAAAATAAATGTACTGTGCTTCATTCAAAATCTCGTGAGTGGATACATCCCAATTCTTCCTATCATAATTTAAATAATTGTAGTCTTAGGAGTGTAAAAGAAATAAAAACCTAACCATGGGCATAAGACTTTTTGCTGACAACTGAGCCTAAGGAGAAATAACCCTTTTTTTTTTCTATTTAGGTGTTAAGTATCTATTTATTCATTCATTAATTCATTCAGCAATCATTTGTAAACACTTACTAAGTTAAGGTAGTAACTATATAATGCAATTTCAAGAAGTTTGGTAGGGGAAATAAGAGATTGAGTGGTAGCTTGAAGAAGATTCTTTCAGGCCTGAGGAGCAGGGTGGTGGCCTGAAGACATTATTGTAGACACCGGGGTGTTCATGTAGCAGTCCTAGTTTCTTGAAACACTTGCTCTCTGTTAGGGAAGCAAAATTTCAATATCTAAAGTGTATGTGGGTCACATATGAACGGAAGTCACACAGACTTGTGTTCAACAAGGGACTCCACTTATCTGCTGTGTGACCCAGGACTCAGGGTTGATAGGCTAATTACTTCTTCCTAAAGACTAACATGAGGTCTGAAGGAACCAGTGTGTCCCCAGTGTCTGTTAAACGTCTGGCACACAATTGCTATCCATAAAGCTGCCACATGGCCTTGTACAGGGAGAGGATAGAAAGTAGGACAAATTTTTCCCGCATGTTTCTCCCAAAGCAAAGCAGCACTAAATATTTAAATTTTCTGTTTCTAAAAGTTACTCTACAAAGAAAAATAAATAAATAAATAAATATTTGAAGTTTCTAGCTAACGACCATTTCAAGACTTGCAGATCAAAAAAGTAAAAAAATCTGACACTAAATTGAGTTATAAAATTAAAAAGGCTGAATTTCTAAGCATAATAAATATGACGCAAGATTGGAATTCCAAAATTGCATTTTATATGGAAAAATACAAATATATTTGAGGCTGTCCACAGAGAAGCCAGCGTGAAGCAACCAAGAAAATCATGGAAATTATTTGGCTGCTTGGAAATGGCAGTCAGTTGACACAGTCATGACAGTCCTTTTAAGTCCAGCCTGTCATTCTCCCAGGAGATAAGGGGTAGAGAAATAATTTTTACAAAATTACATCCAAAGGGGATTACAGGAGAAGAAAATGCTCCCAGAGACAAAAATCATTTCTGATGAGCAAATACGATTTTAACGTGTTTTGAGCTTTTTGGAAACTATGCTAAATCCAGGCATTGCTGGGATTTGATTGGATTTAATCCCCAGCTTTCTGTTCTAGATTTTTGTTTTCTTTTTCACTCTCAAATGATCACACACCAATACAATGCCAGAAGTTACATGCGTTATATCAGAAGTTCTACAACGAATACCTAACTGAAAATTTCAAGATTCAGGAATCTATGAGGCTGGCTGCTTAACCAAAACTTAATTTAAAATTCTTTGTTATGTTAGGAAGAAATTTAACAAAAAGCTGTTCTAAGCAACCAGTTTCCAATCCATGTCAGCAGCCCTGACACTTAACAAAACACTCTGAGCACTTAGGGTAATGGCTCAGACCCAGAGAAAATGGTGCGCTTTGCTAGAGAAGGAGGGATGGAGGCGGGCGTGATGTGGGCGGGATTCCCAGACCCCATTTCCAACTTCCTTCAGAGAACTTCTGCTATCATCTAGTTTACAAATTGGCCTTCCAAAATGTATTTTGTTTAAGTGAAGGATACAATAGTTTATAAAATTTTGAGAACTTCTAGGGTGGAGGGATATGTAGACTTTTGCCAGATCGCACATTTAGTAAGACTCTTTTAGGGGGTCATCTTACACAATTTTTTGCCTAATCCAAGATGGTCACAATACTGCTCTCTAGAGTTAAACTGGTGACCTTTGTTTCCCAGAGCCCAGTGAAGCTGGGGACAACCTCTTCACGCTGACCAGATCCCCTAGTAGTTGGGGTGTGTCTGCCACCCCTTGACTCAGAACACAGTCTGGGTTCCACCTCTAATGTAAAGAGCCCCTTTCACCCTTTTCTTTGCCTGCATTGGAGTCACTCTGAATGCTGGTGTTCTTTGGTCTTGGCCCCACCCTCCCACTGCTCGTGTGAAGGAGAGTCTTTCATTTTTGTGAGAACTTCTTCCAATTCCTCTCACTCTCTCGAACTTACTGATTACCCCAGTCAGATAAGGAAGTTGCAGTTAAATGATTAGAAAGGAAATGCGTTCTTTCACCTCAATCCAAGATATACTGAAGCATTGTTTTTGAATATCATATTGTTCTTTTTCAACTTTACATCTCATTTAAACACTTCCAAGGAAGGAGGGTGGGGCATGAGTAGAAGAAGCTACAGAGATTGACTGGCTTTTCTCACCAAGGGTAGTATGGATACCCCTGGTGGCACCCAAGACAATTTGATGTGGAACATTAATACACTCATGTACATCTTTCTTTACATAGCTATGCATTTATATTAATGTGCAGAAGATGCTAAATAAGAACTTTTGAATGGACGAATGCATAAATATATGAATGAACGCATACATGAATGAATGCATGCATAAATGCCACCTCACCGGAAGGAACAAAGATGTGCTCATATCAAGGGGAACAAGGATGATTAGAAACAAGACCCAGAATCACACTTGGTCTCTTGCTAGCCCCTGCCTCACCCAGTACATTCTGACAAGTTTCAGAGAAGGATCCTACTTGCCCCATGATACCGATGGGCAGGGTCTACACAGGGTGAGGGGTTATCTCCTGCCCCACCTGTGGATGGGGGTCTTCTCAGGCAAGGCTCTCAAATCTTGGACCTGAATAAAGATGAAGGGAAGCATGGTGCATACCATGTTTCTTAGCAAAGGCAGAAGGGAACCTTGGAGAACTCGGGAAGCCACCGCAAAGTGGGTACTTGAGGAACTGCAGGTTCAGTGAAGGGTATCCGGTGTTGCTAATCTCACCTTCTGCCCTGGGAGCAAAGTGTATATGGAAACCTGGAGCACTTTATGACCAACAGAATTGAGTAGCAAAAATCATTTTTTAACAAAAGCCATGGGGTACTCTGTGACCTGTGTATGTACCAGGGGCCTTTCTCAGGTAGGATAGAAATGAATTGGAGAAAACAATTGGTTACATGGTGGAGTGTGTCGCATTCACACACGTCCTGTTTGATATTAATCATGAGATTGCAACACCAAGCAAATCCAAATCTGCTTGGAGTCACCGTTTCTGGTGAGTGCTCAGGCTGTTCATTGCTAATCAAGAGGATGTTATAAAACATGAGTCAGATAGCCTCTGGCCTTCTGGAGCGAGGACTCTCTATATAAAGAAGGAGCTTCCTGGCTGAAATATTGGAGCAGCAGGCAGGTAAGGAGCCACCACTTGTCTTGCACTGAGAAGGAAGACGAAGGCCAGCATGCCCAGATTTCCTCTGCTGCTGCTGTTGCTCTGGGTCGTGGGGTCTCACGGCTTCCCAGCGACTACAGAAACAGAAGAGCAAGATGTAGAGACGGTCCAGGTAAATGCTGAATTTCGCATGCCAGAAATGCAAGTCTTTAGTTTCTAGTTTTTCACAATAATATGATTAAGTTTCCTTACTAAGAAAATTTTTTTGTCAGAAAGAACAACCTTCCCCAAAATGTATCTAGCCATGCATAGACTCTCCTTTCCCAGCTGGAGGTGAGAGGAAAATAAAGGCACAATATGCAGATCTCACTCATCAAATTATAGATTTGCAACAGTACTCAAATCTCATTCTACAAATCATGTTCTACCCTGAAGCTCTGACTTCCCTGTAACTAATGGTAGGGAGATTTCTACTCTAAAACTGCATATTTTCACCAGTCACAAGGAAATAAGGATCATGACTCTAAACACAAGCTTTAAAAGTAGTTCTCTGTTTTGGCTAAAACTTCATGTGGCCAATTTTTAGAAAAATGAGAAAGATTTTCCACCCAGTGTTTTAATAATTTTATCTTTTATCAGAAATACCTGGAAAACTACTACAACCTAAAGAATAATGGAAACCAAATTGAAAAACGGAGACGAAGCAGTCCAGTGTCTGAAAAATTGAAGCAAATGCAGGAATTCTTTGGGCTGAAAGTGACTGGGAAGCCAGATGCCGAAACCCTGAAGGTGATGAAGCAGCCCAGATGTGGGGTGCCTGATGTGGCTCAATTTGTCCTCACGGAGGGGAACCCTCGCTGGGAGCAAACACATCTGACCTACAGGTAACGACAATGAGCCCCAGAGTGAGGGCACTATTTCCCATCAGATGGGTAAGAAATGAGGTCCGATGTGTTTCTATTTTATTTCATTCTAAGGATTGAAAATTACACACCAGATTTGCCAAGAGCGGATGTGGACCATGCTATTGAGAAAGCCTTTCAACTCTGGAGTAATGTTTCACCCCTGACGTTCACCAAGGTCTCTGAAGGTCAAGCAGACATAATGATATCCTTTGTTAGGGGAGGTAAGCTCTTCTTGTATCATGAAAGTGTTTTCACCTTAACTTCACCTTGCCCCTAAATCCTCCAGCTTTGCAGCTGGAATTCCTTGTTTACAAGGAGTGTTGAATTTGGGGGGCTTAAGGAAGGAAACTACATCACATTTGATGGAAGTCTGTTGGCCTCTCAACAAAGCTAATCCTTACCTTCCTGAAAGACCAAGAGGGACCTTTGCTAAATTCTGTTTCTTGCAGATCATCATGACAATTCTCCCTTCGATGGACCTGGAGGAAACCTTGCTCATGCTTTTCAACCAGGCCAAGGTATTGGAGGGGATGCTCATTTTGATGAAGATGAAAGGTGGACCAACAACTTCAGAGGTAAGTCAACCAATTTTGCTTCTCTCAATTCCCCCACCCCTTAATGGTTCATTGTGACATTGGTTGACTTAATTAAAAGAATGCGTTAATAGAAACACGCATTTTTCCATTAGCACTCAGAAAATTAATGATACATTTAGAAAAGCGTAAGAGAGGTTATTTCTGCTACTACAACATCTTACTGGGGACAAATAGGTCACTCTTAAATTTCTATTAAGAAAATGTTGGGCCGGCCCAGTGGCGCACTGGAGAATGCGCCGCTTGGCGCTCCCGCCGAGGGTTCGGATCCCATGTGGAGACTGGTTCCCGCTCACTGGCTGAGCACGGTGCGGGCGTGACACCGAGGGTTGCGATCCCGTTGCCGGTCAGTAAAAAAAAGACAGAAAGGAAAAAAAAAAAAAAGAAAGAAAATGTTGAAAACTTTAATGTTTTACTTGTGGGCATCTATATTGAATTTTCTTTACTAAATGGGCACAACAAAATTTAACAGTGGTAGTAAGCTTACATGGAAATTAGGGAAGGAGAAAGCTTTCTGTTTTCCAAAAATTCCCACATCAAGCATTTATCAGTTTGTAAATTAAAAAATATTAAATGTTAATAGAACCTGATTCCTTCTCTGAAAAATTATATATGCCATCTAATTATCAACAAGGTTGGCTAATCTGTGCTAGACTCTCAGTCAGATGAGTTTGTCTTTTAATTGTATCAGTGTAATCATAGAGTTTAGGCTTCAACATGTCTCCACATTATTAATAAATGCATGCCTCCCACCTTTGTAAAGTAGTTACATATTTTTTTGAAAAGTCATTGAGAAAATATGAGCCTTAGTCTTTGTAGAGTTATAGATTATTTATCAACTAAATGCCCCCAAACTGGATGTATTTAAATAATTGCAAATGGGTTTTTTGGCCCTTTTAGATTACAACTTGTATCGTGTTGCGGCTCATGAATTGGGCCATTCCCTTGGACTCTCTCATTCTACTGATATTGGGGCTTTGATGTACCCCAACTACATCTTCAGTGGTGATGTTCAGCTAGCTCAGGATGACATTGACGGCATCCAAGCCATATATGGTGAGTATAAAGGAAAACGTCATGGACAAGGGCCTACTGGTCTTTATGCCTGTTTCAAATAAAACAGCCACTAGTTGAATCCTTTAAAAAGCTGTCTTTCGTTGTTTATGTAGTTTTCCAATACCAGGCAAAACTAACTCCAGGTCTCTTATTTTCTTTAGGACCTTCCCCAAATCCCACCCAGCCAACAGGCCCACAGACCCCACAAGTGTGTGACAGTAAGCTAACCTTCGATGCTATAACGACAATTCGGGGAGAGCTGATGTTCTTTAAAGACAGGTAAGATGTCAATTCATCTTTGTGTTTAGCATTTGTAATAATAACATTCACTATGATGGGACACTGTTATGCTTCATGTGTTATTTATCTTACATTTGTTTACATTTATAATTATATGGTAGCAACTGCTTCCATTCACACAGCATAACATACTTATAACAACCTTGTTTTCCCACACAGATTAGGTCATTTGATTCTCAGAAAATAGCACGGAAGTAGAAAAAACAGTAAATATAATCCTATTTTACAGATCAGTAAAGTAAGGCAGAGAGAAGTAAAGAGGACTTTTGGGGTCACTGAACTCACTGGTGACAGAGTAGTTATTGGTCTTCTGACCCCTACTCCTGGGATCTTTTCATTAAGCCACTCTTTATGGTGATAAGTATGTTAATACTTTATCATGAGAAATCAGTTCTTTTCATAGCACCGTCCCGGCCGATGAGGGTTGCATCCGATGAGGGTTGCATAGCCACCCCCTAGGTGTCACCCCTTCCTTCCTGGTAAAGATGGCCCTCCCAGAGCCTGTGCTCATGAAGGGTCTCTGTTGCTCCCTAGTGGCCCAGAGAAGAGAAGGGGAAGAGCCATTGCTGGGAGAATCACCAAGAGTTCATGAGATCCCCCTCGGGCAGACTTGGGCAGCCCCAACATGGCACTCCCCGCCTCCCAGGAGGATCCTAGTACTCCCTCTGCAGCATGGGGACCCAAAAAGTTTGGGGTCTTCACATGCAAGGAACAGGCCTGCTCTTCATACCACAGTGATTCCTAAAAGACCAGGCAAAAGGATAATACAATCTTGTGTGAATGAAATGATACTACACTCTTTTGTGAATGACGTAGTCCACAGACAGATGGGCACGTAGACAGTGGGGTGGTCTGAAAGGCTCGCTTCTCCTCCGCTACTCCTCTTGGAGTGGTGTTGGTGCTGTTTTACTAACATGTGGCCCTCTCTATCCCAGAACGCAGGGTACTGGCTCCTAATGCTTTCCATCCTCTACTATTTTTTAGTGTAAAAGATAGGCTAGGTGTAAACCATACAGGGTATGGCTCAATGCTGGGAAGTGTTAAGAAAATACATGGTTTTAAAGGAAAGCTCTCAATACTCCTATAGCAGGACACATCTGTCAGAGCAAGTATCTGAGGGATTACTCCAATGAAGGGGACTAATTCTTGGACTTGCAGGAACCGAAAGACAGTAAGATCATTTAAATGTCACCAAGTCAGAAAGACACCCAGGGCTAGAGATAGTAACTGACTTGCTTAAGGTCTCACAGCCAGGCAGAGGCAGAACTGAACCTAGAAGTCAGGTTTCTGATCACCAAGGTCATAGTCTTTCCTGTGTCCTGGAATCTGGAAAACTCTTCTGTCAGCCCGCATGACAGTCTGTGCTGAGCTCTTACCCCAGTCCCTGTGAACCATATAGAATCAACTTTGTATACTACTAACCGCAGGATGACAAGGGCGTGGCTTCCGGAGCTGAGTTTAAAATTAACCTTTGCCTCTTACCAGCTCTGTGGCCTTAGACACCTCCTTAGCCTCCCTGACCTCAATTTCTCATCCCACAGATGGAAGAAATACTGTCTTGTGGGGTTTTGTGATGATCCATGATGTAGGTAAAGGACCTGGTGTGGTGTAAGTGCTCATTAAATGTAAGATATTAGTGTTGTGCTGCAGCCAGTAATGGCTACAGCTCGCTCCTAATGGCTCACCAAAGCTAACTGTTAAATTTCAAAGAATATTGCAAATTGGTTTTGAACCACAACCATTATTAAAAATTAAATTATATAAGCAAAATTAAATTATATTAAAACCAAAGGTAATAAAAATGATCAAAGCTCATCCCTTTGCCATTACTTTTACTACATTTTACTATTTCTTTATATTCCTGAAGTTATTCATGTCTATTGCATTTGTATGGTGGAAACACTAGACCACTATGCTCTACTATGACTCTTGAAATCAGCCACTGTGGGAGTATTTCAACCGAGGAAATAAGCAAATGCTACAAACCAGGACTTACTCCACGCCCAACCTCCAGTTTGGAGAACCAGATGTTAAGCATTAACCAGCACACTGCTGATGCCAGCAACATGAAAGAGATGAATGTCAGCCAGAGATTGCTAGTGATTAGATAGAAACCGGGTTTTTTGTTTGTTTGTTTTTTCCAAATCAGGTTCTACATGCGCACAAATTCCTTCTACCCAGAAGTTGAGCTCAACTTCATTTCTATTTTCTGGCCACAACTGCCAAATAAACTTGAAGCTGCTTATGAAGTTGCCTATAGAGATGAAGTCCGATTTTTCAAAGGTAATGCTCCCAATTACTTTTCACTGTTTTTGTGAATTAATTTTTCAGCCACTTTTGGGCTGAGAGATAAGGGTACTACCTACATTTTTTCCATGGACTTTTGAAAATCTAATAGTCATTGATCAAATTAATGGGAGTCCATAGGCTTAATTAAAAATTACATCATGTATTTCTGAGTCATTATAAATAAAAAAACAAATGCCTGGAAATAGAAATGTTCTGGCCCGTTTATGAATCTGATTTATGAAAATGTTTTCTGTGCAAACTATTTATGTATTTAAAACCCCTACCCCCATATTCCTGGGGGTACTCAGGAGTAAAATTCAAGACTTGGGTCAAACCTACAGAGGACGGAACAGAAAGGTTTTGCTTGTGTGATTTCCTGTACTCTATCTTAATATGAACCATCCTTTTAAGAACTGGGAGGCCCCCCCGGGCAGCCAGATGGGGGCGTTGCAGGCTTGCTGTCAGGGTGTGGTCCTCAGACCTGTGTCATTGGCATCACCTGGAAATCTCTTACAAATACAGAATCTTAGGTCCCACCCCCGACCTCCTTTGGCAGAATCTGAATTTTAACAAATTTCCCAGGCAATTCATATGCACATTAAAAAATAAGAAGTCCTGAATTACTGTGAATTGAATGAGACAAACTTCTTTGATTCTAACAGAATGAAATACAATCCAATGATCAGCTCCTGGCTTTGAAGACACTATGCGAAACACAAGCAGTTTTGCAAATATGTGTTTGGCATAGCATGCACAAACATTAAGATGCTTGATGCAGTCATACACTCAATGTAAAGAACTGAATGCAGTTCAGATGGGCAAAACACTTTGAAACAGGATTTCTAGACTTTATATCATGAAATTAGATAGGTTTTTAGATACACTAAGATTCAAACTGCATTTTCATGAGGGGTAAATAAGCATATTTGTGCAACAAGAGCAATCCTGGATTCAGTATATAAAATTTTTTATGTGATGTGGGGCTTACTGACTACAGCCATACAGAATCTGGGCACAGCATAAGTTCAGTTACTTATAACTGTATTCCAATCAGATTTAATGATTTGAATCCAGGGCTGCAAGTCATTACAGGTTGTGAGTCATTACAATGCTCTGCCCTTTAGGATATCATTGATGCGAACCTGCACATTCTATGGAAAACCCAGAGAAGAGAGCTTTCTAACACTGAGGTGGCATGAAAAATGCTAGCCATCTGAATATTTTGCTTTGGAAAGAAGCCCTCAAACCCATAAACCAGTCATTCTCAAAGCTTGCTGCAGACAAACCAGATAGGAATCTTCAAAAAATATACCCATTTAATTTGTCTGGGACAGGATCCCAGCATCGGTATTTTCAAAAATCTCTGTAGATGAATCTGAAGCCAGGTTACTGCTCTAGTATGTGGAACTAAGAATTTAGCTGGAAATCAACTTACTGTTTGTTGCAGCCCCGGGCAAGTATTTTCATCACTGTTTTTTGATTGGCAGGTAATAAGTACTGGGCGGTTCAGGGGCAGAATATGCTACACGGGTACCCCAAGGACATCTATAGCTCCTTTGGCTTTCCTAGAACTGTGAAGCATATTGATGCTGCTGTTTCTGAAGAAGACACTGGAAAAACATACTTCTTTGTTGCTAACAAATATTGGAGGTAAAGACCGAGTGCAGAAAATGTTAGGACAGCACTTCCTTCTATGTAGAAAGCTCTAGACCAAACCATTTCAAAATGAGTCCCAAATTGTCTTGGCCAGCTGCCTTTTTGTGAATGGCTCTAGCCAATCTAGCATCGACCAATGAAGATCACACAATGCCTGAGCTGGGAATCCAAGGAGTGCATGTAGCTGAATTTCAAAAAGATGTAAAAATGAGGGCATTCCTCTTCACAGAGTTACTTTGGCCAAAAGGAACTTACCTTGCATAGCATTTTACCTTAATAGGGCATAGTGTGGAACCTACTGGAGAATTAGAACTAGATGCTGGATTTCAGAGGGGCCTTATAAATCTGCTAATTCATCCAGAATTCTATCTCATCTCATCCCACCCCCATTTTACAAATGAACTATAGAATTCAAAGTTCTTGTTAAATTTCTGCTTGTGAATTCCCTGTAATGATTTTGAGAAGTCTATATGTTTAGCAAAAGATTCTGACACTCCTGATTCTTTCTGGCCAGGTATGATGAATATAAACAATCCATGGATGAAGGTTATCCCAAAATGATAGCTCATGACTTTCCTGGAATTGGCCACAAAGTTGATGCTGTTTTCAAAAAAGATGGTAAGTGAATATGTATGTATTTTCTCCATTTTGTTGACATAGGAATCACATCAGTATTGTTATTTGGAACAGCAAATACCGAAAATGTCTGTGCTCACAAATGACTTGAGTTTCTCAAGACTTCAAATTAGACCTAAAAACTGTTTTTATAGTGTAGTAAGTCTCTTTTGTTTTATTTCTAGGATTTTTCTATTTCTTTCATCGAACAAGGCAATACAAATTTGAAGCTAAAACTAAGAGAATTTTGACTCTCCAGAAAGCTAATAGCTGGTTCAACTGCAGAAAAAAATGAACAACTGTTACAAAGTTCAATGAAAAAAACTTATTTCATGAGCCCAAGGAAGGTGTTTTCTTGAAGAGCCATATACTTTTCAGTATTTTATTTAACCTCTAAAATCACTGATACACAGAGCTATTAAGTATATAACCTTATTTATACCTCATTCTGCATATGTATTTTTTATTATTTGGAATGCAATGTTTTATGTACTGAAGTAATTTAGTTCCACAAATGATGGGTAAGGAAGGTCAAGTACACGGCTTCTGGATTTATATGGGCCCATGTTGCAAAAAGAGATCTTTTCCAGAGTATAAGACTCTGATATTGATCCCAGAGAGCAGCTCAGTGATGAACATCTCCTTTTAAGGAAGAAAGAGACAAGTGATGCAAGCCTCCACCAGAGGAAAGATGGTTCAAGAACACAAGAGTCACTAGTATCCTGTCATGCAAGGGACAAACTCTTCTTATATAAAATAAAGTGTTTTATGTTTGGAATAAAGTCATCCTTGTCTCTTCTGTTTTACAAACTTTCTATTATATGTACTATATTGTTATTTCCTGATAACAAAGCCACACTTACAGAGATTAATTTCCAAATTCGAAATGAGAAGTAGACAATATGTAAAATATTCATGTGGGAAATGAAGATATACAAAAAGTTCAAATATCCTCCATTCTTATGGAATTTATATCATATAGAAAGGGGAAAAAAACTATTTCCCTTGTCCCGTACCAGGATTCCAAAACTGGTTTTAGGTAAAATCGGTGAGAGCATGGTAGAGCTTTTTAGGCATATATCACTTTCTCTTCTTCTAAGCACATGGAAGGGCTACATTTTCCTACAGTCCAACTCCTTGCAGTTGCAGGGAGAGCAAGGGTGTTGGGCAGTGAGGCATCTGACTAGTTCTGGCCACTGGGTTGTGTGAAGAAGTGACAAATATCACTTCAAGGCTGAAACATCCGATTGGTTGCTGGTGCAGGTGTCCCCAGTGGTCTGCTCCCCTACTGTGGTGATTGTAGGAGCCTGGCATGAGAGGGTTGCCACAAGACAGAACAAACCTGAATTGCTGGACTAACACTCAACCAGCTACCCCACACCTCAGCACACATTCCTATAGAAGGAAATGAACTTTTACTGTGCTAAGCCGCTAAGATTTTAGATGTTGTTAATGTTGCATAATCTAATAGATCTAGATAAGCATTGTCTAGTTTATCATGACTAATTTGGGAGGAAGTTAATGTAGGTAGGAGTTCTGCAGGTCGCTGTGAGCACCATGAGTTCAATGAGTAGTTCAATGGTGCCCAACGGTGTTTGCTGCCTTTCTGAATACATGGTCTTGAGATATGTAGAGGAACTCGTGATTCTGAGGAAGGCAGTTTTCAACTCAAGAATCTGGAGAAGAAACGGAGCACTCCCGGGGTCCTGGGCAGGAGCTGAGGGGCAGCCCCTCCACCCAGAAGCAGGCAAGGAGCACGCTGAAAACACCACTTCCACGTGGGTGGCCCACCACAGCCACCGCCACAGCCACAGCTGCTGCAAAAGTGGCTCATTGCACAGCAGGAGTCACAGCCACAATGCAGGCAGCCTGCCAGACACACAACCAGTTACACAAGGAGAGTCACCAGTGGAGACCGGAAAAAGAAGAGTCTCTCCTCAAAGCCCACTGCCGCGTAATAGAAGAAGCAACTGCTCTACCACACTCCTGCTTTATTTCTGATTTCAGTAATTTTGGTCTTAGATAAAGTCTAGATAAAGGTTTGCAAATCTTGTTGATCTTTTTAAAGAATTAACTTTTGGTTTTGTTGATTTTCTCTATTGTGTTTTAATTCCCTATTTCATATATTTCTGTTGTAATCTTTTTTATTTCCTACTTGAATTTGCTTTTGGTTTAGTTTGCTCTTCTTTTTCTATTTTCTTAAGGTAGAAATTTACATTACTAATTTGAGGTTTTTCTTATTTTTAATATAGGCACTTACAAGTATAAGTTTTCCTCTAAGCACTGCATGAAAAAAAAATCTTTCAAAAACAAAAACAAAATAAAGATGTTTTCAGATATTCAAACTCTTATAATAAGAGTTTCCTCTGGCTTGCTCAGTGATCTCCCTCATCTTAAATTTCTATTTCCCATACATATTTAACATGCCAGAAGTTCATAGGTAAAAACCGATTTCACCACATGCAAAAAAATAATTGTGTGCAGTCTCCAATCAGTATCCATGGCTTGCACACTATGTGAGAATTTTGTGCTTCACAGCTCTAAGCAGACAAACTGAACATGCTTTAATCAGTTTTACTTTCAGAGGTCTTAAATCTCCTTTTTAAATTAGCATAATGGACAAATAATTTCTTCTATCTCTTCCTTGTCACCTGGAAGAGTTTATTAAATTGATTGCATTTATCTTGTTAAACAGGAACTTTCATTCCACCCTAACCCTGATTTGTTTTCATAGAGTTTGTAACTTAACATGATAGAAACACTTTAAAAATGCCCAGTTTTTGAACTTTTCAGTCTAAATTCTTTTGTGAACTAAACCAGTTTTCCTCACTAAGCAAGGCGGCGAGTCTATACAAAAACCTCCATGGAAAAGAATGTCAATTTATAAATCCTCTGGCTTTCAAGTTTATGTAAACCTCTTAGTCTTTCTGTTTCCATCCAGCAATAAGATTGTTCCTCTTGAAGCAGAAAGAGTGGAATAAATTACTAAGAACAAAAAAAGAGAGAGAGAAAAGAAAATATGAAATGGAATATCTTAGAAATAAACAATTCATAAGTAAAAAAAAAAAAAAGAATTTGGAGAATAATGAAACTTCCCCTTTGGCCAAGTTCCTGCCTCTCTTTAATATATATTTTCATACTGAAGCATAACAGAAAAGTACACAAATCATAAATGTTCACATCAACGAGTTATCACAAATTAACAAGCCCATGTCACTCTCACCCAGGTCAAGAAACAGAACATTCCCACACCAACACTGCTCAACTTCATCTTAGGCTCTTCAGCTGCAGAGCCTGAAACAGGGATTCTTTGGTGGATCATTGGAGGAGGAATGCTCTCAGGAGAAGGGGAGTAAGGGAAACATTTGAGAGCAGAGAAAAGGTAAAGAATGTGGTCTCAGATGGACATTGTTCTGATCTCATGGGAAAACAATGGAGTAAAAATGGAACCAGTGAGTTAGTCCTACCCTGAGGCACAGCCTTCCCCAGTGTCAATCAGTCATCAGCCAAGATCTGATTTGGGGTGGAGGGCATAGCTTCCCAGGCAAGATGCTCCCATTTGGCAAAGGAGTGGGGACAACTGTGAGTCATAAGCAGCCAACTCCTGCAGTAGCCAGGAAGGTGGGTGCCCTGGTGCTACAGGGGACCTGGGGAGGGCACCAGCAGCAGCCACTGTACATTCTCTATTTCCC